GTGTGTGTATGATATATGTGTGTCTTTGATACAGACATTTGCCCTTACATAATTGTGGGAGCTGGTTAAGCAGTCTCTGTAAGGCTGTGATCACCACAGCTACTGCTGGAGCCTGAAGTCTGCAGGAAAGGCTGTTGGGAAAGGAAAATCAAGTAGAGGAGGTCAAGAGCATACCGGAACCCCCTGAGTCTAACATTTTTGTCAATTCTTATTGTCTCTGACCTTGATAGTATGAATGTCCTACAGAAGCTGAGGGGAAGCAGTGGGGGGGCGGGGAGGGGGGACTTCATGGAGCTAAACTCTCCCACCTGGCCGAGGAAACGGAGATGCTGAAGGAGGACTGGAGAGTCCGGGAGAAGGTGAGCAGATGCTGAACCAGCAAGTAAGTGACAATGCATGTGAGCTACAACATGACTGCTGCTTTCCTTCCACCCTCCAAATCTCTCACAAGGATGTGTCCTGTGGCCCAACCTATCTGAATCTACACAGAGAAATGTGTTCTGGAAAATGAGGTCCAGCCTAGCCAAATAGACAACATTACAAAGCCATCACACAGCTCTCCCACACTGCAGTCCTGTGTAACAATCCCATTATCAAACCAACATTGCTACGCAGTAAATGTAGGAGGCAGTGAACTGTAATGATCAAGACATGAACTTTGGAGCCAACCAGATCTGAGATCAAATCCTAGCCCCAATAGTTCCTTGTTGTGTGACTTCAACAGATTTGAACTTCCTTATTTGTAAAATAAGGATAACAATAACATTGTCTTCATTGAATACAGTAAAGATTAGGTGAGATAATACCTGTAAAGTCCTAGGTTTAATGCTTGGCACGTAGTAAATACTTAGTAGCGTTTGTTAATATCTTCTAATTTTGCAATAAATTTTACAAACACCAGATTAATTGAAGGTATACTTTCTCAGCAGTAACAAGTTTTTATTATACTTCATAAAGAGCACCACTCTATAAGGTCTCCTAATTTAGTATCCCCATATATCCAGGGTTTTCTTGTAAGATAGACTAACATTAAAATAAAAACTATCTTTTACTAACAATGTGATTAGAGAATCCTTTGAGTACTTGTGGTTTGTGTTGATGATCTTTGATCTAAATATTCTTACCTCCCAAATCAATTGCTGTCGAGTTGATTCCGACTCTTAGCAACCCTATAGGACAAAGTAGAACTGCCCCATAGGGTTTCCGAGGCTGTAAATCTTTACAGAAGCAGATTCTCCCCCTCAGAGCAGTTGGTGGGTTCAAACGGCCGACCTTTCGGTTAGCAACCCAGTGCTTAACCACTGTGCCAGCAGGGCTCCTACTCGTACCTTAAGCCAGGAGAAATCAGTGACAAGAAGACAATGGGAAAGAAATACAAAAACCTGGGACTAAACCACAAATTAAGTTCATGGCCCATACAAGTTGTTTGATCTCTGACTCACAGGATCATTGAAACTCAAGAGTTGGAATGAACCATAGAAGCAATTTAATCCAGCCCTGCTCTGATGCATCAATCTTCTCTAGAGTATTCTTGATAAGTCCAGGACTTAGAAACGTCAGGTAATGAGAAACTCACTACACCTGGAGGCAGACGTGTGCGTGTGGAGATGACTCCAATTTTTAAAATATGAACCTTTCTGTGGCTGGTTTGCCTCTTGGCAGCTCAGAGTTATCAGGCATTGTTCTGCCCTCTTCGGCCACCCCAGAGTAAGTCTAGCACATTGATCTTTAGTCTTTGAAAATCTAGTTGATTCTACGGACCTACTCCACTCAAAAGTATAAATGTTCACATACACACAAATTCAGCACATAGCCTCAGGCTCTTCTCAGACCTCCTCATGGTGACTAAGCCTCCACAAGACTGCTCTTCTTTTACTCAAAGGCAGCTGTCAAGCTCCTTCCAAGTCTTCCTTTGTGCAGAGTTCTATCAACCGTCTTTTTGGCATAATTTGAAGATGTCTTACCATCCTGGGCCGGTTTTCTTGGATCAGCTCATCTTTTCATTGTTCCTCTTAATGGGTTGCATTCAGAAAGAAGCACAATGCTAGAAGAGCGACCCGGGAAGCTCAGACCCTGCTGTAACCATCACCACTTTTGCCATGTATGTTCTGACTCAACACAGCCCAATATTGCATTAGCTTCCTCAGCAACCTCATCATATACTAGTTCAACTTATACAGGAAAACCTGCCAAAGCTGGAACCTGTGTAAGGTGGAAACCTGTCAGAGAAGGAAAACTCAAACATTTTCCACTAATAGAGAGCAAAAGAAAAGTGGTAAGACTTCACCCTGTCAAAGGCAGAAAACTTGTGAGAGCCGGAAAAACAAGGCAGTCCCATCACTCTCACACGATTCACTATATTAAACTGCACCTCAGTTTTCTATTTTGCGGAATGAGATGATCAGAGTAGATAATCTTTAAGGTCCTTCCAACTCTAAATTCAATGAGTCTGTTAAAAAGGACCCACTGAAGATGGTAAACCTCAGCCAACAAATTCTAGGGCTCATCACTGTTGAAGGGATACACTGTTGAAGAAGATAATGGCAAATATATATTGGTTACATTGTTATTACGCTTTTTAAGGCTTTGGCCATGGTTATAATGAGAATAGGTATAAACTGGAAAAGATTTGTGATATTTACTAAAATGCCACATTAGGGGTGTGGGGGGAAGCTTTTCCCATATTATCTTCGAAGAGCATTTTCCGGTTAATAAAGAGCTTTCATAAACATTAATTCAAACTATCTTGCTTGGAAGACTACTTCTGGAGCTTTATTATACTGTCCTAATTAACGTACAGCAAAGGAACACTGTACAGGTTTATCAGTCTCTCAGAAATGAGAGATTCCCAGTCATTACCAAGTTCATCACTCAGCATTTATGTGTGTGGAGGAAGCATATGAATTTGCAGGCTCTAGTTCGGCTGGTGCTCTACGGCTGAACTCCACTAATTTAAATGACTTGAGGCCAGATGTGTTGTAAAGTGGCGATTTATCTAAATTAGTCATCACACACTAATAGCCACAATCCTTTTTGCAAAACGCAAGGCACATTCTGATCCTAGGAAGCCTCAGCATTATGAATTCCTTTCACTTGGCTGAGTGTTTCATTTGCCTGCTAATACAAAATTCATTGAGGCAGCAGGCAGCAATCGGAGCTGTTGGGAGTTCTAGTCCAGTGCACCACAATCCCACTGCAGTAAGACTAATGGCAAAGAGGGCAACCCGGAATAACCCACTTACCTGTTTGACATAACAGTAGGCTTTTTGCATAAAAGAAGCATGTGTATGGGGTTTACAATGGCTGGGGATACATTTGCAAATCTGACCATGAGAGACCAGGACCATTTCCACTGCGGTTCTGTAACTACTTAGCAAAAATGCTTCAGAGTGCTCAGCAGGGAAAGGAAATGTGATAATTGTGGGAAGATTGGACATTGTATTAGAGTGAGCTCTTTGGCACAAAAGAATACTGTCTGTGAAATGCTAGTTTCAGGTTGCCTGACACTGAATTTCCATTGTGCTGCTTGGAGGATGCAAAAGGAGGGGGCAACTGCCAGTAATGCTTAAGCCTGAACAACCAACTGGACAACCACCTGGGGGCTCTACAGCAAGCAATGGGGAGAGGTAGGTGGGGAGGAGAGGGCTCAAGGTCACCACTGGAACGGCAGGATTTTAGCTTCTAGCTGCCAGATCTGAGGCATGACCTTTCAGCTCATCAAGGCACGAATAAGGCCTATTTTTAAAAAAGGCTTGTGTCATCCAAATTCAGAAGAGATTAGTTCGTGTGAAAAACACAATAGAATCCTTTGCAGAGAAAAACAGAAAATCCATTTTGGGAAACCAAAATGAGGTGAGAAGGTTTCTTGATGAATATGTTGTCTTGAAGTCAGGAGGGCTTTAATGGGATTTATCTAACCTGAGATTTCTTAAACCTACATTTGCCTTCTTTCTAGCACGTTTCCTTCAACTAATGCCTAAGTTCACACAACTAGTAAGTGGTAGAATTGGTGTTCCAACTGGTCCTGTCAGACTACAAAACTTTTGTCCCTTGTTCTTCATCACCCTTTTGTTGTTATGTCCATTGTGTCAGATCTGACTCATGGTGACCTTATATATGACAGAATGAAACGCTGCCCAGTCCTGTGCCATCTTCATGATGGTTGGTATGTTTGAATCCATTGTTTTCGAGCACTTCTATTGAAAAATATTTTTTCACCAACGCATTAGTCAGGCTTGCCTAGGATGTAGTAACAAATAATACCTGAAATCTTACTGGCTTAACCTGTCACATATTCCCTTGTGGGTCATATAGCTCTCCCAGAAAGCTCTTTTCCAAGTAGTAACTTAGGGACTCATGTAGCTTCCATCCTGCAACTACATCATCTAGAATCTTTGGCTTCCAAGATCTCTGTGGTACAAAATCCAAGAGGAGTGCATCTCACTGATGAGGTTTAAGTCACATATCCTTGCCCTAGTGACTAGAGGGCAGTGAAAAGGAGGGTATGAATTGTTCAGTTTACTTTGGGAGAAGCAGAGTTCTCCTTCTCAACACAATGGTGGATTCTCCCCAGTTAAAAGGTGGATTGAAAGCTGGACAGCCAGAAATATTAAGAAATGCCCATTATACCTACTATGTGCATCCCCATGTGCTAGAAGCTATATAGAATACAAAATCTGCAATACATGACTGCAGCTTTGAAAGGAGATATTCTCGCAGTCTAAGAGGGAGCTCTACAGAATCAGAATAATATTTCAAGGATAATACAAGGGAGTAAAACAATGGAGAGAAACCATGAGGAGTATTGTTTATAGAACTAGCCAGTCTCAAAATTCTAACTGTGTATTTAAAATTCCACCTAAGTGATAAGGTCAACCAACCCTTTTCGTTTCTTCAGAAATGAGGAAAAAAATGCCTAAAGAAAGAAAGTAATTTTCTTATTATAAAATTTGAAGACAATTTTTTTTTCTCTCTCCAGTATGTTTTTTCATTCTCTTAGCATCACTGAAAATTAAATATTGTAAATTTCCTTGGGTGATGCCTGCTACACAGTAGGCACTCAGATAAATAATATTTTTTCAGCTTTTCTTGACTTTCAGTAATTTTTTACTGCGTTCAATAAGAAATAGTGGTTGCACCTGCTACAGGTCGGTCTCCTTGATTCATTTTATCTTTGAGCTCAATGTCATTGTCAGCACCTACCCTGTTATATCACATTCACTTCCTAAGGGTCTTGCTAAGTGGTCAGCTAGCTAATTTGATAAAAAAAAATTTTTCAGTTATTTTAATAGATGACCATTCGTTAGCATATTGTTCCTCCAAGGTAAAATATTATATTTGAACAACAAACCTCAATGTC